TTATTATTTTTATGTATTAAACTAAAATTAAAATTAGACTTATAATAAAAATTCAAGAAAAAATTTTCATTCTTTACATCGAGAAAAAAATATTTATATGGAAACTTTATAAGAAAATCGAAAAAAAACTTCTGATCAATTTTTTTATGGATAAAAATATTTTAGTTAAATAAATTACTTTATGATTATTTATTTTTCTTGATATTTTTATTCAGTTTTTGTATTCTATTATTGTAAATAAGTGAAATTGTTAACAAGAAGGAAATATTACTTAATTATTCAAATTTTAGAATAAAATAAGCAATGTAAAATAATATATAAAAGAAGTGAATTAGAATATGAATGATTTCTTCAATCATCTTTATAACACAAAAATAAAAATAAAAACAGAAAAGTATCTATTTACCTATCTATCAAATAGTATGGTATAGGCAAGCAAATGAAGATATAGAACCTATATTCTACGATGTTTTTACCTACGTGCCCATCGATCTATTTGATAGGTAGATAGATAGATAGGACCAATCCATCTATTCAATTACTTTTTCTTCCGATCAATTGGAAATTGGATATGAAAAAAAGTATTTATGAGTATTAGGTCTTTATTCTAACTTCACTACAATTTCATATATGTTGAGTTGATGATGAATCTACTTGAATTTTATTCTCATTCGATTTCTTTGTTTTAATTTTATGAAGTAAAATTATAACGTGAAATTTCGTTGTTAAAAAAAGAACAATTTCATCAATTAATGGTGCATTAATGTGAAGTTAAAAAGTGCAAAAACATTGACACTTTCATCCAAATCTATTTTCAATATCAGACTGAACTTAAAAACTATGTTACTAGGTCAGGATGTGGGTGTGGATGTGGGTACTAAACTAGAGGACACTCACACCCTCGGTTGATTGTAAAAGTATATGATTGATATTGATGTTCAGTTGAATCAGAGCGATCATCTGCATCTTTTGATCCTAGATATTCCAAGAACATTTCTTGTTTTTTTTAATTTAAAACACAAGCGTTGTTCAGGTGTTAAGAATAGAATATGTTTTTCGTTCTAGCATTTAGTAAGCATTTCTTTAATTTTTTCAAGATTTTCTTTTAAAAGTATAACTCCTCGTGAAAATGGCATTACATGTATTTTCTTTTGTAATAATTTACTAGATTTCTTTTTTAATAATTCCTACATAACACCCATGAGTGATTCTAAACAGTTAATTCTAGCAATCTGTTTACCATTAGCTAACATTTCACTGAGTAGAATCAATATAACTGATGTTTTACCTTCTCCCATATTCAACTGATAAATACTATTGTCTGTTTCTTCTATCAATACTTTTATAAGTGAATATTGAGTACGACGTATTAAAAGATTATTTTCTGTGTCAAATGATAACCAAGATGAAAAAATTTTCTTATCATAATTTCTTTTCATTAAAATATTTGTAATAATATTTTCTACGATTCGTTCTCTTTCATCTTTATCGTTCTCCCCATGTAATGAATTCTACTTCGATATGAGTACAATGGCTCTTATGATTTGTTGAATCCATAATAAAAGGATTGAATTATTTTATTTTATCGATATTGTTTTAATAAGGAGAGAATTTCTCTTTTAGTTGGAACAGTTTTTTCTCCTATGATTCGATGTAAAACAAACAGATCGGTTTCATCCGATTTATTTGTAACTAAAGTAATATTTCGATGTATTTCTTCTAACAGTTGTGTGTTCTTTTTTTGGTATTTGAAATAATACTTTTAAAATTTCAGTAAGATTATTTATATTATATTCATCTTTCAAATGAATTTCATCTATTGATGTTTACAAATATTCGAGGACATTTGAATTATTCTTGAGTGTCTCTAGAGTTTTCTCGTCTGTTATTTCTCTTGTTTCTAGCTGGCAAAATTTTTCTTCGTTTAACCAAAATTGAAACTGTTTTTGACATGTATCATTGGTGTAACTATATTATTCTATTATTTTTAATTCAAATATAGGCGTATCTAATTTTTCATATATTAATATACCTGTTTCCCTTCTCGTGCATATCAACTTTAACATAGATGGACTTATACTATTCTTTTTTGCGATGATAGACTAAATGCCACATAAATGGATCATTATTTTTGATAATACAATCGTCTATTTTCTCGGCAATGTCGTATAAATCCGTAAGCCATTTTCTAACGTCTCTTTTAAGGCTTAAATCATTTTGAATGATTTCTAAACGTTGTTTAAACAGTTCTAATCCAAGTGGTTGAGACAGAATATTTCGTCGAACTAATTCATTTTTTTATTTTTGTACGTAAATTTTTCAATTCGGTCTTCATTTCTTCAATTATTTTTTCTATATTTTCGGAAAAATATGTGTATGAATTTTCCTTTTCAACTCATTGCTCTACATCTAAGAGCAAATCGTTTTTAATTTTATCTAAACTATTTTCTAGGTAAGTGAATTCTTCTTCAGAATCGTATGTTAATTCTTGTAAAAGACCAATGCCAATTTTTGGTTTTTTCATCGACATGAAGAAATACTTATCGTTAATTTTTACTGTATACAATTGTTGTCCATAACTTTCTTCCAAATAAGAAACATATGTTTTTACATATCCTTGTGAAAATGCCTTTTTAACATCGAAATCACCTGCAAACGTTTCGGGATCAAGGGAAAATTCAATGTCATTTTTAGAATAGCAAGATTTAACATAAAACAATTTTTGTAAATTTTCGTAATATTTTTTTATATCAATATTTTCTATTTTCGATTCTAAATCCATTAATTCACTTCCATTGATTTCTGAATATGAGTGTTTTTTAATCAATCTGCTTTTCAATATCTTTAACATACAAATTCATTTTGAAATTAGATAAACATGTGACATTCGTAACAGTGTAACCGATTCTTTGTGAATCAACAATTTTCTCACATTAATTGGCAATATCGATAAAAATTCATAGAATTCTTTGTTTCTACTTTTAGCAATATACGTAGCATATAAGATATTTGGCAAATTATCACAAATAGAAAAGACATTCATTTGTCTTAGAATCTTTTCAAAATTATTTTTAAATTTTAGTTTGAATTCTCAATCTTCTAAATTTTGTACACAAAATCTTGACTTTTGTTCTTCATTAAGATACTCTTTGTTCAAAATTAACCAAACAGAACTTTTAATTTCTTTATTAATATAGCCATGAAGTTTAGGAATATTTGAAATATCATATTCACAAAAGTTTCATCGAATAGCTAGCGATTCAAGTTATATTTTTTATCGTAATCAATTTCATTGGTCGGCAACAATAAGAATTTTGACAGAAATTTAAATGCTTTTGAAACAAGAGAAACAATGCAGAGTATTCTTATGAAAAGTCTATCATCTTCAGATGCTGTCAAAAATAAGTATGCTAAAAATAGGCAAAAACTTTCTTTACTAAAATCACTCGCATCTTCTACATCGAAGACTATTCTATAAAGGAAAATAAAATAAGAAAACTCGAAATTTTATAGTAACCCATTCACTAAATAGATCCTTACCAATACAATTTTTATCCTCGTATTTACGGTAATGATGTGGAGATCGCTTTGCCAAAGTAGCTATGACCTGTTCTTGAAATTTGTACTGTACCATTGACATCCTGGAAAAAATGTCTTTTCCAAACATTTATAATCTTTCGGTTCAAGCGATATTAACTCAAGTTCTTTCGTATCATTTATCAAAATCTGTTTGATAGCTACTTAATAAAAGATAAGTTAATTGAAGAAAAATAGCATGAGTATTACAATGACAATGATTCGATCCATAAGTAGCAGTCTTAAACATTTCTTCTTCTTCTTTAACAGCATAATCTAATCATTATTTTTCTAAATCTGGGCATGTACTTTCAAAAAAATTTAATATAGTATTGAATTCCATGTCTGAATATTGACAGTTTTACCAACAGATTTTAAGAATTTCTGCATAAATTTCATAGCCATTCATTTCAAGAAACAAAACTTTATCTAAAGTAGCAGTTTTAAAATAAAGAAGAGCTAGATGGAGACTTGCAGCTGTTGTTTTAGAATTCAGAGATTTCAAGTTTCCATCAACTTCATATGAAAAATATGTTGGTTTGCCGACTTTGTCTAATTTAAACTATTGTATTAGAGAAAAATGATTTTTTTCTTCAATTGGTTGATAAGGAATAATTATTTTTCAATTGAAATCCATAGGATTATCACTTTGAATGTCGGATTCTATGACTAAATCCTGCGATAATTCAATCAATGTATCAATATATTGATCTTGACTTAAACGATAATCTTTAAAATTCTTCCCAAGTGGCCGTCCGATAGGCATTTCGACCCGTTAATTTCACCTTCCGATGGACATCGAAATTCTAGACCGAGCCGTCGGAAGGTGGGTGTGGGTGAGCGTGTGGATAGAATTATTACCTACACACACACCCACACCCACTCCCACCCCACATTGATGTGCGTCAATGTACTTTGAAGTACCTTGAAGTGTTTTTATTATCACATGAATACCAAAACGTCAGTAAAACTTGTTTTCTTAGGAAAAAGGGAAACCACTACAAGGAATTGAAGTTCCATTATATGATACAAGAGAATATTCAATAGGGTGAATTTTTCATCGAATTTGTTGCCATCCCTGCAAATGTCACTTCTATTTCTCACGACTAGACTATCTGTTGTTGAATAGTAGGTGGAGGATTCGTATGTATTAATGGCAAAATTTGATTTCTTCTCCAATTATTTTGTACTAATTGCTTGATCGTATCTAAGACTTGCTTGCGAAATACTTTCGATGCTGCATAATAACAGTAGAATGAGCTCTAAAAATAGAATCACGACGAATTGTATGTCGAAAGAATTTACGCTACTTACCGCAAATGGACCATAACCATAGAGGTTAAAAAAGAGTTGAACTACCTGTTCTTGAGACATACGATAAGCATTCTTGACAATGCCTGCTGAACTAGCGAAATAGGCCATTGCAATACCATGTGGCATCATGAATAATACCAAAATCACAATTTGAAATAATGCCATTCGCGTCATCTGTTTTGTAAGAGCAGAGAGCGCACGCCGTTCGTATATTTTGAACGATTGAAAACGTCGGTAGGTGAGAATGGCAAATATACTACTCACCAAAACGGGAAGCGTTAGATAAAGCACAAAATTCAAGAAGTAGGTGCGATATTGGGTATACACAGCATTTGTTGTTACACACGCAGGTTTGCCATTAAGACTTACAAGGTCTTGCAGAAAGAAATAGGGCAGTTGATGGATAATCCAAAAGAGTACACATCCGATCACGAATAGTCGAGCCGTTCGAACATTACTCTTCTGTCGCCAGATAGCAGATCGCGAGGTGCAGAAAAATGCATCGATAGATTGTAGACAAAGGCAGCTGAATGAACTAAGAATATTGATATTAACGATAGAAGCGCGAAATTTGCACCAAATTCTGTTTGACAATGTGAAATCTATTTGAAAACCTTCGCTAAGAACTCGAGTACCAATACCAACAATAAGAAGGTTCATATTGAAAAAGGATTGAGCAAGCATGAAAAGTGAACACACATTGTGTTGGTAATTACCCAATTTGAGGAATACGACGATGTTGAGAAGATTTCCGAAAACACCACCTATGAGTAAGGGGAAACCGAGTCCAATATTCATGTATTGAACAATGAGATAAAGTTGGACGATGGCTGATGTAGATGTATTGTTCGACGACATTCTGCTCTTTTCCACGTTTGCACTATCTGCTATATTTGTGATAGGATGTTACTGCCAACTGACTCTTATATTAATTAAAGTATGCAATAAGTGAAGGAAGAAAGATTTCCACTGCAAAAAAAGTTGCTTTACTTTGCAGTAATACTAGTCACTATTAAGCAGAGATGAAATGGTTGTGTTTATCGGTGTTACGTTACAAAACTACGCCATTATATATCTTATTTCTACGAAGAAAAAGGCACAGGTTTCATGTGAGGATTTTACATAAGTAAGATAATTAGCTCTCTTTTCAGAAGCTATTTAAAAAACAAGAGAGTATTGTGAAAGTAGAACGTTTGTCTATAACATTCTGTCACTGTGAAAATGATGCTCTTTCAAAAATATATACAGAGCATTGTTTTTCATTTTGGAAAAAAAACTGTTTTAATTATCAGAGTCAAGTGTCCTAATTCTGTCAGAAAAAAAAGCTTTTAACGTTTTACTTATAACTCGAGCTATATGCATCATAGAGAATTTTTTTCCGGGAGACTTTGAACATTCCTCTATCGATTGATACAAAGTTAATTAAAAAGAATTCGTTCATTACTTTACTGGAGCATAACAATAGAGAGGCAGTCAAATTTGATTGAAATTTAATGTGTTAGAGTGTCTAATCCTAATTTGATCACGAATTTTTTCCTTTTAGAAAAAAACTCGCAACTTCTCTCTCCCACATCCATTCGAAGTACTTTTCAGTTTTCGGGATAGAAAAAATATTTCTCTATCTTTCTGCCAATTTTTTTTTTCAAAAAAGTTTTTCTTCAATGAACAGTAGTCGTTGGAACGAGACCTACTCAATTTTTTTTTCGTTCTGTTCCATTCCTAATTCGATAATTCCAGCCATTTCGATAGGAAACTTCAGGACAAAAGTTGTTTCGGCATGAAAAGTGTCTTTAATTGCAAAACAAATTACACCATTCGTTTCGTCAGCTCAAAATCTATTTTTCTATATATTTTTTATTATTATGAGATGTAATCTTCATTGAGTTTTTCTTATTACAATAAGATGAAGTTGATGATCAAATTACGAAACTGATCTTAATTCAATCACGCAAGTTATTTCAAGTTCCTAATTTGATCGCCTAATGTAAAAGACATGGAGTTTCAAGGAGTGATTGAAAAATCGATGGACGGCTCTCATTTTACGGAATCTCGACTTGGTCCCATTACAAAAGTTGTAGCACACATTAAAAACTATCTACATACAGAATATGAGAATTATAACTTCTATTTCTAATGGTATTTTATTTTTTGATATGAGGCGTAGTAGTCTTCTGTTTTATTTTATAATAATAAAGGAATGGATGTGAAAGTTTGTTTTAGTTTTATTTGGGATTGATTAAGAATGTATCAAAGCGACGCCTGTTTTATTCATGTAATTGTATGAGTATTAATCGACCAATCTATTATCCTTCTGGTCCTCCAAATGCTCATTATGCAATCAACCATTCATTTTCTTATCCGAGTCATATTTTATTTTTTGTTGTTGTATCAATTTGATTGTTCTTGGTTCAATATTTCACACTTTTTCTTGATAATGTGGAAACAAATACCCGAAACAATCTCTTATTGATGCTATTAATAGTACACTGAACTCGGAATCAGCAGCTAAACTTTAAAATATTCCAGCGAGTACTTGTCGACGTCATCGTGGGTGTGGGTGTGGGCGTGGGTGGGTGGGTGGCTGTGGGTCCTTCTCTCCCTTTCAACCATACACCCATAGCCACACTCACCCACAACCACACTCTGTCTTATTTCTTATGGAACCTCTCTTGTAAAACTAGCTGTTAGATTCTCTGTTGTTTTTCGAGAACACATCAGTCTCGAGTTTTCTTCAGCACACACTTGATTGTTTAATAAGTGATCTAGCACTATTAGAATATCTTCAGTTGTAACAGTTAAAAAGTTGATCTGATGAGACATAACTGAGTTCAGCTGATTTCATAGTAATGTGCTTTGAAATATTGACAAAATGCAAGATTGACCAGGGGCGTGAGTGTGGAACCTCTATCGACATCCGCACTCACTCCCACACCGTATTTTTTCTTGTTTTTTCTCAATAAAGTATGATAGTGCTAAAAATCCGTATTGTCTAACTTATCATACGAAGGGTGCTGAAACCTAAAATTTTAGGATTGATGGTTTTGAACATTGATGCGTTGAATGACCAAAAATCAGAAAAAGCTTTTATTGAGTGCCTTGCATACTCGATGCCCTCATAGACGTTTTCTTAAGTATAACTACAGAAGTATTTGTCTCAAAGTTCAACTAAAAGTACAAAAATCCAAGTACAAATACTGTCGTCTCAGCTCTGCCCTACGATAAGTTATTTGAGTCATCTAGTGCACTTTTATTTCACTTTCGTTTCAACTATAATTTGATAAAATAGGAGCAAACAGAATGCACAATGCGATAAAATAGGTGTGGAGATATAAAAGAAAAATAAGTAGTTAAGGGCATATCATTTTTGTAAAGACTTTACATCAGACTCTAAGGCTATGCTTTGCCTACGATACTGCTGCAATTTGCTCGTATTTGTACTTTGACCGACAGTCAACACTCATCGCTCACCTCTATTCGATGTGCATATAGATCATTGCATAGTTGAGGCCATTCAGGATTTAGTTATCAACATTCCACGATGTCAATTTTCTTGGAAAATTCATTTTTTGGGACAATGTATCACAACGAAATATTCAGCAAACAGCTTATCAGCTGCAAATTTAATCTATAAAAATAACTCAACGAGATAATCCATATGCGTGGGGTAGTAAACAAATTATATCATCACAATCAATTCATGTACCATATACAGGTCAAAATGATCTTTTACCATCAACATATTATCGTTTTCGTGTACGAGTTTGGACAACAAACTCAGCAGAACCAAGTAAATGGATGAATTGGATTCAATTTCGCACGCCTATATTCAATTTACATGAATATCTGACAAAAAAACAACGCTCTTTTTTGGATTGGATCGACAAAGATCAATATGAATGAATTAAGGAAACAGTTTATGGTTCCATATACTAGTCCTATCAAATCAGCAATTGCTTATACTTCTGGTCTTGGCTGTTATGAATTCTATCTAAATCGTAATAAAGTAGATCCAAGTCGAAAATTAAATCTTGGCTGGACATCCTACGAACAACGTACTCTGTTTGCTTCATCTGATTTGACAGCAAATATCACAGCTGGCATTATTTTTTTCTGTCAAAAGTTCGTCTATGAATTCCTGTTTAGACTGCTTGAATGTTGTTGCAGTCAAACTGGGCAATGGTGGGTATAGTCCAGAACGGCATGGTAAGTTTGGCTATGGTATATGAAAATTTATCTTATTCTAAAGAGATTTTTATTTCGAGAATATTTTAGGTCTACCTAGTCTTTTTTTATCTTGTCTATCATACTTGAGAGTGGTAATTTAATTCAAGTTCTTATTGATCAAACATGAACTGGCCGAGAAGGTTCACTTAAATGCGATAGTATTTATAATGGTGAAATATACAATAGTCGAAATGATCGCCCTAATTGGACTCGAGCAGGATTTAATGATTCTTTATCAGCGTGGATTATACCTGAATTAATGCCGCCATCACTCAACAGTTCGCGTAATGGTTCGCTTGTTCTTCAGGACATGTTACCAATTCGAGTTGGATCTGATGCATTACATTTTAAAGTTATGACAGATAGTCAACAACAAGGTTATTTGAGTCTCAAAGAGATAGATGAAATCAAAGGAACTAAATTAACTGATTGTGAAACACTCAAATCTGTAGCTATGTGGGCATCTGATGCAGGTATATTTTTTCCATTTATCGTAGAATAAATTAATCATTTTTGATTGTCAATTAATGTATAGGTGTTAGCACATTTGACCTTGGTCAAAATATAGCAGGATGGTGTCGTTTGAGATTTCGTGGTTGATGTGGTTTTGGTGTCTCCATCCGTTATGCTGAATTACTAACCCAACCAGTTATATCTACTAAGTAATATCTTAATAATTTCATATATTCTCATAGTTAGTTGTATTTAGTCTTTCTACTCGCAATATCTACGCAGAAAACCTGCGTGAGGCTACAGCATCTGACACTTATATATTGTGGGGAAACCCTGTTAGTGAAATCTGCGAACCGGCGTATGATAGTTTTTTTTGCTAACTAGCATTTATTTTTGACTTTTTCTTCTTTAGTTTCACTGTTCATGGTTTTCGTTATCTGTCTATTTTTGATCCACCAAACGAGATGACACTCGACGGTGTCGAATGTTCATTTGTACATAGTGAAACAACGTTGAAAGGTCATTTTTCTACGAGCCATCGAATCGTCAATAAAATTCAACATAATATCCTACAGTAGTGTCAAACCGAAAAGTTGAATTTAATTATTGAAAATCTACTTCAACTATTCAATTATTGAACAGTTCAAGTTCAACTATTCAATTATTCCTATTTCAGATATGTATGTCATTTCCCTCCGAACTCCCTTCTCCGCACCCATACCTGATGAGAAGTGAATAATTGAATAATTGAATAGTTGAAGTATATTTTCAATAATTGAATTCAATTTTCAGGTTTGACATGCATAAAGAGCTGTAAATAAAGTATCAAAAGAATGAAAAGAACTGAAAGTCTTCAAAATTGATAAGAAACAGTTTGGATTTGGTATAGATTTGGATTTAGTGTCGGATTTGGTTCCATTCTACCATAAATCGAAAGTTCAAGTCCTGTTAGATTGAAACCAAATCCCAAATCCAAATTCCCAATTCCGATTCTAAATATAGTTAAATTCGTTAGTGATAAGTCCGAACCGGATCCAAACGATAGCTACAATCCAAATTCAAACGAAATTCAAAACTAAAACCAAATATAAATCAAATCCTAAAGTTCAGAAACCAAACCTAAATCCGATTCCAAATCTCAAAAATTTGGTCTGAAATCCTAAATGTGTTAGAGATTTGTTGCACCCCTAATCGATTGGTATCTTCAAAAGCAACAGCATCTATTGTTATTTCATAAAACTTCACGAAATAGACTACATGTACATCTTTAATAACTATGATTGATTCCCTACCGAATGGAAAATTCACAATTTCTGATAAAAGCTCCTTGCTTATACGACGTGAATCTAAAAAAATGAATTTTCTTTTTGTGTTATATTCATCAACTTTAATAGCATTGCTTACCTATTCTTTTTGAAAAACATAAATAATATAACAATTTACACTTTTTCCACCGAAATAGTTATAGTTCAAGACTAGATCATTGGTTCATAATAGTTTCTCTGCATCTAAATTGGTTCATAAGCCATAATCTTTTTCACTTGGCGTGATCTACCTTCGATAATGATTAATTGAACAACCATTAATCGATTTTTAACCTGACCGATTTCATTAAATTGATTGTCTGTGTCGGGACACAATTCTGGTTCTTCAAAAACGACTCGATCTTCTAATTCGTCTGGTGAAAGTATTAAGGCCAAAAGATAAATGAAACGATCTTCATCGTCCGACATATTCCTCCACTTCGAATAGTTTCGATATCGGCTAATATCATTGCCATTGTAATCAATAACGGTACATACACAATCTAAGTAGTACATTATTTTGGTAATATCAGCATTTGGCACACTGATAGTAGTATCAAACATTTTGAAATCATGCTCATCGGTTCCGAAAAGAGCCATAGCTTTCTATTAGGTGAAATTTAATGCGCTTCTTCCTCGGAACAACATAAAGAGAAAAATGCAAGCCATTATACACTATTTATTTTTTATTAAACCATGTAAAAAGATGAGCTGAGTTTTCCTTTACCTAAGTAAAATTGCCTTATCACAATGTACATTATGGTAGAAAATTTTACATCATACAACAGCAATTGGACGATAGTTCGATACTTCCATACATTATTATTGTCTTTCTTTCTGTTTTTAACACGAAAGAAATGTAATGGATTCTAAGACATCAGAAATATATATTCGACGAGTCAGTCAAGTGAATAATTATGCAACCAAAAAAGGCTCAGTCCTATAAGAATGTACATCAGGCTATTTTCTTTTGGCTATTGCTTGAAAGGGTGGAAGTGGGTGTGGGTGTGAATATCAGTCTTCACTTCGTCCACACTATCATGTAAAACTATTTATCTTACAGCGATCCTTATCAAAGGGTCTGGAGGTGTGAGTATGGGTGAAGATGATATTAATCCACGCTCTACAGCCGTAGCCATCTACATCAACATCTCGAAACCGCTCACATCCAACTTATCTATTAAAATCTCATTGTTTTGTGCCATGTCGATTGATGTCATCGATGAATTTATTCATTTGAAATTCCTATCATCATTAGAACCTTCTCAATCTTAAATGTCGCCTCATACGTAGATGCCATTTTGCATGGAAATTCATTCGCAATTAACGGTAGAAGGTTTTCGCTGAGTGTTTTATTTCGATTGGAAAGTTTTGCATTGGGGATATAGAAATGCTTTATCGAGTGTACCTTAAGAATCTACAGCAATAGAAAGTGAAGAAGGTCTCACCTGAATTAGAATCGTATTCGGTAAATATTTCTTGAAAAGGTGAGAATCTGACCCCTTGAAAAATATTTTTGACCATGTTTGTTTTACATAGTTAGAATCATCATCTCAAGATATATATTTTTTCCTTTCCTATTGCATTTCTTATCTACACGCTTCTTGTTTTATTTAAACACGCGATACACCATTTGTCACAACAACAAAAGACCCATAAAGTATGCACCAACTGACAAAAATTTTCTGTAATACATTGATACATCTCTTATTTGTTGGCAATGTCTCTAGCCGATTGATTACAATCAGTAATATATTGCCTCGCGTCGATATCTACAATCAGTCGATGGATATTCATGATGGAAACGTGATTCAGTATGAGAAAGGTGGCCTCTATTATTATTACGGTGTTGGATATGGTGGTTGTCGCCAATTTTTAAACTTCGGCTGTGCTGGTGAATTTTTGCTCGGTGACTGCGGCTTTCGTATCAATCATACGATCAATTTATACACGTCACCGGATCTGAGTCGATGGACATTCATAGGCGATATGCTTCCATGGTATGGTGATCGTCCAGTCGGCATCTACTATCGGCCGAAGGTTATTTATAATCGATATACTGGAATGTATGTACTTTGGATCAATCGAGTGCCACGTACGGGTTCATTTGACGGACCGAATTTTATCGATAGCAGTTATGTCGTAGCGACCTCTCGAAAACCTGAAGGGCCATTCACTGTGGTGAGGCAGAAGATTGAAACACTCGCCTATGGTAGTCCAGGTGATTTTGCACTCTTTGTTGACGATGATGATACCGAGAAACCAACAGGTTATATCGCCTACACATCTATTGACAGTTTGCATCGTATTCAAATCGAACAGCTCTCATCGGACTATACAAATACACTGGGCACAAAAGCGACAACCGGCTCTATAACTCCAATGAATAATGAGGCTCCCATTATGTTCAAACGCAATGGCTTCTACTATCTGCTGTTTGGCGAAAGTTGTTGTTTCTGTCGCGAGGGTGGCAACTCGTATGTCTTTGTCAGTACACATCCACTGGGCCCATGGACTGATGCAAAGTACGATATTGATCCGGTCGGAAACGAAATTATCCATGGCATCATAATACGACGTTCTATCTCTGGTGGTCAAGAAAGTTTCATTGTTGAAGCGATGCTAAACAATTCGAGTAGAGCCTACATTTTCGTTAGTGATCGTTGGGGAAGTGGTCCAACAAAGGCTACGGATTTTCAATACTGGCAACCATTGCAATTTAATGATACTCAGACTCCACCACGTATAGAAGAGCTTCAATGGGTCGATCAATTTACACTTGATATTGCTTTGTCCTAGCCAGAAGAATAGAGAACACTATTGCGTTCTTCTTTCTCGAGCTCTAATTCTAGAACTACTTAAAAAATGAATATATCCTTTTACACGTTTCTATCAAATTGTTCAGAGCAGAAATACATTGTAGAGAACAATGCTTGACAGGCATGCTGGCGATATGCACTGCTTCATTTTCATACAGTAATATATTATGAACAACAGCACACTCGAATTTTTCTCATGGACTAGAAAAGAGACAGTTATTGAGCGAATCAGACATGGTTTACGCATCAATTACGACAGCAGTTGCCAGGGATGAAAGTTGAATTGTGATATTAAACGTAGTTAATTTGCAGCGACACCTTATTTTATGCAATATTTCACGAAAAACAATATAGTGCATATCAACGACTCTACGCTCCTCTGTGGAACTAATTTTAAGTTCTACAACGTAGGATTGATCATCGAAAAATGAATCTTCATTTTTAAACTTTATAACTGACAGTGCATATGAGATCGAGTAGACTCGCTAAATGAATGCCTATAGACGCTGAGTGTTGGATGATGAATAATGGCTAGCCTAGATCAAACTATCGGTCTGTTCTACCTTTAAGAAAATTTTACAAAAGTTTTATCGGCTGATACCAATTTTATTCTCTTACAGCATCTACATCGTATGAAATCTCTAGATATCCAAAAAGTAGTTTTGCTCAAGCTGCAAGTAATAAAGTCACCTTACATGTGTTACCCGTCACGTTGATAAAGTCTTTTGACTCTGTTGATAACATCTTTTATTCAAATTGTTCGTGCAGGCTCAGATGTTTTCTGGTTTTAAATAGATAGGCTTTCATTTTCAAACAGTTCGTTCGCCAACTACATTGTATAAGTCTTTGGGTATTGCTCCAGGTGATTTTCTCGTTTTCATCTTGAGCAAAGCCATCTTTCGGATATCCAGAGATTTTGTAATATATAGATGCAGTAAGAAAATGAAGGATGTGGGTTCCGGAAAATGAGAATAACAACAACCAGGGTTGCCAGATCAAGAATTAAAAAATCGGAGAAATTTTTCTTAGAATCGGAAAAATGCCGAAATTTTCGTTCTCAAAATCGGAAAAAAATCGGAAAGTGTTTTTTTAATGCTTAAATAGCTAATTTTTTCCAATAAAACAACATGCCTTATCTTGTTTTTGTTAATTTTTTCGAGACAATATCTGGAAAGATATTTCATAAATAATTAAAGAAAATATAAATTTACATATACAGTTTACTCATGATTAAAAAGCTTGCATAAGCCATTTAAACAAGACCACGNTTCTGTAGTTGCTGTTCGTTCCTTCGTTCCCTGTTGAGGGGGACCAGGGGCAAAATATGGCGAAAAATGAAAGTCGTAGAAACCGTTTGAAATACACACCAGTCGACTCAGTTTTTTGTGATGATTATGAATCTGAAGTCATATTTTTGATTTGACTAAATATGCAAGGTGCAGAAATCAATAAAAGAGCAGAATTAGTCAAAATAATAAAAATAATCATCATTTTCTAACATTTATGGCACAGACTAACTTTTGCTACCAGAATTAAAAACAATTGAGTTATACCTTAATCGATCCAGAATTTCAAGGACTTTTAGAAAATATACAAATTATTTTGGGACAGAATCACTCAGCATGATTAGAGGCGAAATACCAGAAAATCTTCGTTTTACTCAACCAACAATTTTGCTCGTATATTGATATTATGGATTAGTAAAATGTATCTCAGAAACTACTCAGTTACTCCGTTTTGTAGAGGAAACATTTCTGTATCTTTTGAAATGTCTCCGAGATCAAACTGACAAAACAACTGCAGAGAAAAATCCAAAATACTAAGAGCACCATAAAAAATCGAATTTTTGATCAACTGTCTGAGGGAGGTTACTTGTGGGCTTTTCCATTTTTCACAGGTAAGTCAGAAAGAGCTCATATTTTGGATTTAGAGATTTCAAATGATGATCTATCGTTTGAGGTCTTTAAATCGAAAATCTAAATTTTGAGTGGTACCGACTTGGTAGGTGCTCTGACGGACCCTCTCTTAAAGAGCTTTATTTAATACAGAACGTTCTATGTTGAACACAATCTATAAAGCATTCATGTTTATGATTCGTTCTAAATTTTTTTGTTAAGTTTATACTGTGATTAGTTAAATGATCAACGAAAAATAAAATGATCAAGATAATTTATTAGTACTTTTTCTTGTTCGATATTCATTAAAATATATTTATGGAGGGATGCTTTTCTATTTCTCAGAGAATAATTTTACCAAAACCTAAAACTTCTCAAACAATCGTGATAACAAGTTTCCAAGAGTAAATAGTACTATATCTTGGTACCTTTTTCTCACACTTTGTATGCATGAGAAAGATCTCTTTAAGTAACAAAAGATAGAGAATTTTAAGCTCTATGCTCCATGAGCTTTTCAAGACTCTTGGTACTGTCATTTAGGAGAAAAGGACATGGAAGTAACATCTGCCAGTATTTTCGAGTGTAATTTGAAAAAGCATATTTTCAAAACTAAGATTTGCTCTATCAATAATTTATTATGTCATGAAATGTAGAATCTAATTCTAAACAAAGCAGTGCAAATATTTAGGTTTTCTCGAATTCAAAACCAGTAATGACATAGGTCTACTAGAGAAGAACCTCTTTCAATGCTTTCACATTTTTTACTTCAGTAATGTTTCTTCCAAGTATTTCTTCTAAAATTTTCAAACCTACATGAAAGGATGCAAAATTTTACGAAGAATTATGTGAGATAGTTGAAATTAAAAAAAAAACCTTTCCTAATCTTTTCTTTGGTTTTTGATCATCATAGTTGAAAGATTTACTATGCAATCAACATCTATATTTGGCTCTAACAAGAAATTTTTTTTTGAAATCATGATTCGACAGTTTTCTAGAGTTTTAAATTCTCTATCTTTTGGCATATAAATAAAAGCTTCTAATTCATAAGATGACAGAGAGAAAGGTACTAATATCTAGTGCAATTCATTCTGGAACAGCTTCTAGGAGAACTTACGCTGAATAAAATGAAATCTCTATAAAAGAAAATGTATTCATAAAATGCAATAGACGCTTGCTATTTGCTGAGGTATTTGGAGAGAAAAAAATAAAGGACACAATCAAATAAACATCTGTAGGATTGAATACTGAAGTATAAAAAAAGAAGACTTTTAAAATTTAGTAAGAAAAACAAAAAAATGAATTTCGTTAGTTGAATAAAAATTCAATTAAAATTATTTACTCCTATTGAATATATGCGCAAACAAAGCAAAATAATCGAAAGAAAAATACTTTGATTCACAGTTAAAAGAAGTAGAATAGAGAAGAGATTCTCGTTTGGCTTTTTTTTATCGATATATACAAAGAAAAAAATCAATCCTGATCAGATAGAACAAAGTATTCATTGATAAGTCTTTAACAAAGTGTCTCAACTGATTTTCCTGATCTTTATTATCTCTTCTTCATGTTACTCAATAATTCAAATGATTCTATGACTAATAACAAATATTGTTCGAGTACTTTATCTTTACCAATATCATAATTGTTTTACATGCAATTTTCCTCATTATTTGTGACAACATCGGTTATCTCATAGAAATCCTATTGACATTTCAGATAAACAAATGAATCGTTTTGATGTGAAATGGCGACATTTTCTAAGAATAGAAACATTTTCGACGAAATCGAATAGAACGAGTCAAAACAAAGAATTTGCCCTGTTCATTCAATTTTTTTTGTGATAAGTATTCAGATCGTGTTCAAATAAAAATCGAAAATAAATTTGTCATGTAAGAGGAGAATAATTTATAAGAAAAATATCTATTCGAACTATTAGATTAAAAACTAAGAACTTTATTATTAAATTGGTAGTATGAATGATAATCAATATATTCGAGTTCCATACTGGTGATATCAATAGATTTTGAAGATATTTTTCTGGATTAATTCTACCTGTTTATTAACAAATTCAGACAAGAATTATTTTCTCTTCGCTATATGAATTGTTTTACAAACTCGTCCAACCCTATTGTCTTTCTACTTTACGAATATTGCTGCTCATGAACGTATTGAGAATAGACTTGAGCTTCCCTTTGTCGTATATGTAGCTGAACTACTGCTGTTTTATCGAGTTAGTTGTCATTATAGAGACAGTATGCAGACGATCAAAAAAAGGCACCGAAATATATCTTCAGTTGTTTTCTCATGATTCTGTTGAATCAATATGATAGAATCGAATGCAAAGAAACATTTTTAAGGACATATGCCAGATAACAGAGTATGATCAACAGGCTAATTAAAATTTTCATTTCAGGAAACTAATTTTTATGCTGGAGATGTCTTTTGCAATATCCTTTGATTGAAGCATGCTTTCGTCTGCGATCAGCGTTAGAGTTCTATTCTCTATTTTTTTCTGGGGTCAAACAAACAACATGAATCCATACAGAATCAGCCAATTTAATTGAAGTTGCTGTTTGAAAATAATAAAATACGATTGTTTTATGGAGTGTGCATATATATGACAGTATTCTAAAAACAAATTTTAGTGTAATTCCTTCAATTGCATTCTAGTTGTTTTTCTATAAAGTGGGTAAGACGTTTTGTTCCGCTGTCATCAAGAAGCGCATTTATTCTTATTGATATATTTCTATTGTTATATTTTTGTTATCGTACAACAGATAAACACTAATCGTAAGATTTTATCAATAGGAATTTTCATCTTGAGGATGTGGGTATTACTAAAGAGGATACCATACATCACACCCACACCCACACCCATAACTTCTATTTGGTTCGTATAATTTCAATATTAATAGAAACTTTAACTTTAAAAAGGTAAAAACATATGAAGAAACACATTGAAGTACATTTACCATCACATGAATACCAAAACCTAAGTAAAACTTTTTTCTTAGAAAAAAGGGATACCAATGAACGGAATTGATGTTGTATTATGTGATACATGGGAATATTCGAGAGGACGAATTTT